AACCCCTCTCTCTCAGTGCAGTGTTAATGTACTGTTACCCTCTCTCTAGCCGGTGAGGTGCTCAGTATAGCCCAACTTGCCTCTTTGGCCAGTCGCCCAGTCCAGTCATCTCAGGGCAGCAAGCCGGTCACCTTCCAGCTGCAGGGCAACAAGTTGACTCTGTCAGGAGCGCAGCTGCACCAGGTCAACATGAGCCAGCCTCGGCCCGTGCAGGGTGAGTGTCTGCGTGCTTCCCTTTAAAACCCTCTAGCGCGGATCTTGAGTGCGTGTTTTTATCCCCCGGCTCGGTGCAAGTGCTGTTGAGATGCCAGGTGCTGTCGTGTGTGTGTGCGCGTGCGTGTGCGTGTGTCTGGGATCCGGGTTTCTGTTTCGCTGCCTGCTCGCGCGCCCCTCCAGTGTCGTGAACTGTGCGTCGTGGTGATGTCATCAGTGACCAGATCCGTGCCCGTCTCTGCAGGGAACGTAGTTCACCTGGTGTCCAGTGGGGGGCAGCACCACCTGATAAGCCAGCCGGCCCAGGTGGCTGTGATCCAAACCGTGAGTCAGAGCAGCGCGGGGGTGGTCAGCACGCACCAGCCCACCCTGCCGCCCGGTCCCCCCGGCCTGTCGCTGCCGCTGAATGCCACCCAAGGTAGGGCTCTTTCCGGCTCTTCCTCCCACGGTGCAGAACTGCGTCGACGGTTTTCTGTCCGGTCAGAGTCATGTTGCTTCAGTGCAAGGGTTAGTGGAGAACTGCTGGGACCTGTACGTGGTCTACTGCTCTGCTTCGTTGTGTCACTTTAAAAACTGAGGCCAAAACAGCTGGACTGGCAGACACTGTGGCAGCGGCAGATGAAATTTGGAATGATTCAGCTGATGTTCAAGCCTGGGCGAGCACCTGGCAGATGACGTTGAATGCAGGTTTCAAGTGCCAAGTTTCACGTGCGGGCAGCACTGACATGAACTGCTAATACAGAACAGGACAGGCAGACAGTGGTAATGTGCAAAATTTGCTTTTTTAACAACCAATTCAAAAGACAAATGGATGTGAGGATCTCGAGTTAAGTGTTGAGTTTTAATCAGTAGTAACTCTCTCTTTTCAGTTCCTTCCTCCATGGTGTCTGGCTCTGGCATTGTGAAGATCGTGGTGCGCCAGTCGGCTGGTAAAGAGGGGGTGCCCACCCTGGCTGTGCCCCCCACCCCCCGTGCCCC